AGGTACATCGATTTGAAAAGGAACTCTATTAAAAGAAATTAAAGAAATTGACTCTTTTTGGTAGTAACAACAATTAAGTGTTAAAAATACGAAAATATTTATTTTTAAGACAATAATAAGCTTTATTAAATTTTTGTACTTTTTGAAACAATATTTGTACATGAAATGTTTTTTAAATATGAAATAAATAGAAGGCAGTACTAAACTAATATTTTATTTAATTAGATAAGGAGACAACTAGACAATTGTTCAAGAAATAATTTGTGAATATTAATACTAATATTAATAAATAAGGAAATATATACTTTTTATTTTTTATCCTCGCATCTACATGCCATAAATACAATAGATAAATGCAATACGTAAATTTAATATAAATCGATTATAAACGCGACTTCCAGTTAAATATAAGTACATATTTTTGAATAAATTTTGGACAAGAAAAAAAAATTATTTCTTCCCGCACATATAACATATTTTATAAAATGCAGCTTTATTATATTACTTACATTCTTAACATGTTTCAAAAAAAAACTTGTGTGTAAGGGAAAAATAATGGGGGTAGTTCATGTAACGTTTTTTTTCTTCGATACCCTGTTTTCGAGATACAGTGTATTAAATTTGTTACTTTCGAAATGGTTTTCCTTAATTATCTTTAAATCGACTAAAGATAAAAATGTCAAAATTTGTACACGCGCTAAACATCAACTATGCGTTAAGAATAATGTGCAAACGGCTTCTTTCTGAGAAGCAGCGTCGCCGATACAGAGAGGATACAATAAAAAAAATGTTAAAATTGAAAATTTGTTACATTTTTAAACAGATTTGTAAACTCCAAAGCAGCGGTCTTCAAACTTTTACGACTTGCGGAACCCCGCCAACACTTTGATTTTTTTGAGGAACCCCACAAAAATTTTTCGAACACATTTTTACTGATTATTTAATATATTTATAACTACTACCATTAACAAAATAAATATTCCACTAATTGTAAGTAAAATTAAAGACTTTAAAGTTTATTTATTGAGAATTATCTTGGCTCAATATGTACAATATATCTAACTTGTTTCCGTTACAAGATTTGGAAATCTAAAGTCCCTCCATATTTATATAGGAAAATTAAATTCAGAATATTAAACATACCTTATCATCGCAAGCAAATTTTTAAACGCTCTTTTAGTTATAATATAGTTTCATGTATTAATAAGCAGAACGTAATTGATCTTTCTCTGTCCTGCATTTTATTTAAAGCAAAATTGCAATCAAAACTGTTATCTGCACAATGCCCCATATTGTAAATTATTATTATTATTATAACTTTTTCTTACTTTTCATCCTTTTCTACAAAATTTTCTAATTTATTATTATTTTTCTCCATTTTTCTATTCTTTTTTTTAAACTTGATCTTCAAGGTTATTTCAAGGTCAAGTTAATTTTTTTAAATGGGATGCCCTACTTTTGACCCCGGAAATGAAGAGCGGAAAATTTTACGTTCAGATATGTCCTTGACCATTTTCCAAGATGGCGGACGCGATTCCAAAAAATTTACCGATTTACGCCAAATTTGGTAAAGGGGGGTTTTTGNTATTGATCAGTCATTTCTGATACACTATAGAAACATTTGTTTATAAGGTATTTTTTTACTTTGAATTTGAATGAGTTAAAATTGCTTTCTTGTTTAATATCGACTGGTAAGATGTTTATTAACTTAATGCCCATATAACAAGGCGCTTTTTCAAACAAACTTGAGGTATGGTTAGGAATGCGCAAGAGATTACCATATCTGGTTGGGTAATTGTGACTATCAAAATTACGTTCATAATAACTTTTATTTTTGGCAATTTGTAGAATACATTTATATATATAGATGCAAGGAAAAGTTAATATATTGTTACTAATAAAGTATGGCTTACAGGAATCAATTTGGGAAATACCAAATATGAGACGGATTATCCTTTTCTGGGAGATTAAAATTCTTTTAACGCTGTTGTTACATGCGTTACCCCAGACTGTAACGTTGTAGGTTAAGTGTGAGTAAATTATGGAGTGATATATGTTAAGTAATTGCTTAGTGTTAAATATTGTTTTCAATTGCAGTAAAGTGTAATAACCATAATTTAATTTTTTGCAAATGTAATCGGTTTGACTGATCCAGGTCATGTTATAATGTATAAAAGTTCCTAAAAATTTACAGGACTGTGAGGCTACGATTGTCGTATTACCTACAATTATCTGGAGAGGATCAATGATTTTTCTGCGAGAAGAAAACTGCATACAAACAGTTTTTTCTGCATTTAATATCAGTGCATTTTTATAACACCAATTAATAAATTCTAAAGATAATGTATTTAACTGATTTTTAAGCTCCACAAGACTATTTGCCGCCGCTGCAAAGGTGACATCATCTGCATATAATATTGTACAGTCTGCATTAACATGCAATGGGAGATCATTCATAAATATCAGGAAAATAAGTGGGCCAAGTATTGAACCCTGAGGTACTCCCAATTCAATATCTTTTATAGGAGACATTTTATTATTTAATTTCACATATATTTTCCTATATTGCAGATATGATATTAACCATGCTAAGAAATTGTCAC